TGATACCTACTATCTGGTGGGTGGTCAGAAATTCATCGGCAGGTACAATCCAATGGGTCCAACGCATGGTCCGGGGTTTATACAAGAATATACCAATCAAATCAGAAAGTTCACGATTTTGGATAATGGTACCAATATCGTAGTGAATCACCTACCTAGCCCGACAGATGCTGTGAATCTACACAGACGAGACTACAATGTTGGTGCGCAAATCATGCCTAACGGGCAAGAAGGGCTTACTGCCTTTTCGGGCGTTTTCCAAACTACGGTTGACTTGCCATTCCTTAATGCCGTCAACATTGATAGTACCGGATATACCGTAAATAATGCCTTTTCGCAATACTATAATCATTACCATTGCGCCAATTTCCCAATCTACTCAGCCGTAAACAATGAGATGCACACTGTTTTCTTTGGAGGTATTGCGCAATACTACGATAGTCTGGGCGTGCTTGTGCAAGATAATAATGTGCCCTTTGTGAAGACGATTGCCAGGGTAACGCGCAGTGCCGACGGCACAATGGCTGAATACAAATTGCCTGTGGAAATGCCGGAATTGTTAGGTGCCGGCTCCGAATGGATACCCAACCCCAATATACCCCAATATTCGAACGGTGTAATGAATTATGATGAATTATCTACTAATCCTACGCATATCGGATACATTTATGGCGGTATAAGCAGTTCGGCAGCAAATATATTTTGGATAAATAACGGTACTGAAAGCACCGCAAGCAGTCAGATATACAAAGTATTTTTGAAAAAAACAGCGTCAAATGCCACGCACAATCTAAATAGTCAGAGCACAGGCTCTATAAAAATGATGGTATATCCTAACCCTAATAATGGTAATTTTGTGGTAAAGTATCACCTCAAGCAATCAACGAATGTGCGTATATCCTTATATACCATGGATGGAAGGTTGATTTTCCAAGAAACTTTGGTAAAACAAGCGGAGGGAGATAAAACTTTCCATAAGCAAGTAATTGGTATGGAAAATGGTGGGAATTATTATCTCAAATTGGAAACGGACTATGAATCTGCCTTGCAGAAAATCATCATTGAACCGTAGCTTTTCGCAGCAGGGATAGAAGCGGAAATAGCACTTTTTGTGCCTTTTTTGCAAAAATGACCCACACGACTAAGCCGTTGCAGTGAAACAGCACTACCCCTTCTGCCTAAACGCGAAGACAAAAAAGGCACAAAAAGGGCTATTGCAGCGGATAGCCCGGCGACTCAAAAAAAACTGCCGATTCTACCACCTAAGCGTTTGATAGGCAACAAAAGGGCAGTTTTTTTTGAGGCGGCTGCCATAATAATTGATAATTTATGTCAACAAAGTCTTGCCATACAACCGGCGGTACTCCGAAAAAGTAATCATCCGGTCTTGCTGTTCGTCCCACAACTTATTGAAGAAATACTGCATGCTTCCAGTGAAAGAAACAATCGTAACACCCTCTTGGAGCACCGGATTTTCGTCTTTGCAACGCTGAAGATTGTAGTTGGGTATCAAGGAACTCAGGTGGTGTATGTGGTGAATGCCGATATTGCCGGTGAGCCATTGAAACATGCGCGGCAACTTCCAATAGGTGCTGCCTTTGAGGGCGGCGACCACATAATGCCAGTCTTTTTTCCACTTTTTGAAGGCGTGTTCGTGCTGGTGTTGTATAAAAAAGGCGTAAAATGCCATCACGGAAAATAGGGCTACGATAGGTAACTGGATCTTCAAGAAATTGGCTGCTCCGAAAGCAAATATACACACCGTATAAATAGCCGCCATATATAAATTGCTGATTATCACCGATTTTTTGGCAAATTTAAATCCTGGAAGATGGATGGTATTGAACCTATTGTGGATGAAAACATAGTAGAATGAACCAACGGTAAGCAGTACCAAGGGCGCGCGAAAGGTGCGGTAAGCCAAGCGATGCCAAAAGGACATTTTCTGGTATTCGGCTACGGTGTAGAGCGGCATATCGCCAATATCACGGATGTCTTCCTCGAGCCTACCACAGTGTCCGTGATGAAAAGTGTGTGCTTTTGCCCAATATTTGTAAGGAATAAGGCTGAATGCGCTGCAAATAAAGCCGATCGTATCGTTGACTTTGCGCGAGCGTGTGAAGGACTGATGCCCACAATCGTGCTGTATGATGAAAATGCGGGTCAGGAAAAAGGAATTGACCACTGCGAGCGCCAAAGTAAGCCAATAGGAGTAGGAAAGACTAAAATACATCATCACCCAAAGTGCCACGAAGGGCAAAAATGTGTTGAGCATTTGTGTGATGGCTTTGCGCGTGCTAGGTTTTTGGTATTTCTTGACGATTATTTGCCAGTTATCTATGACAAATTGATACTTATTGCTGTGTTCTTGCTCCAATTAAACAAAGTTTGAATGTTTGTAAATATGAAATGCAAAGTTAATTGAAAAGAAGTTTTATTAACAAATTTTTGCTCGCTAAAGTTTGGGGATCGAGCTGAAATATGCAGAAATAGCTGCACATGGAAATGTGAGACGCTTTGCGTGTTTTTTTCACCTCAACCTGCGCCTTTCAAGTTTCGAAAAAAATGAGGGCGTGCGCGTTCGAAACTCCATCTCACCCAAGTGCCTCGCCCCCAATCGTCGATCTGTACATATCTATCCGCTTGTGCATCACATAGAACCAAAGCGGCGGAAACATCGCTAAAACCATCATGCCCGGGTAGCCGGTGGGCATTTGTGGGCTTTCATCGAAGTGACGGAGCACCTGATATTTGCGATTGGCTAGGTAATGATGGTCGGAATGGCGTGAAAGTTCGAACAAAATAAGTCTGCCAATAGGGTGATTTGAATTCCAAGAATGGACGGGCATTGTGCGTTCGTAGCGGCTGCCCTGTTTTTTTCTGCGCAAACCATAGTGTTCTATGTAGTTGACAGTCTCCAAAAGCAAGCAACCAAATAATGCCGCGCCGAGGAAAAACAACAGCGTTTCGGCGCCAAAAACAGCATAAATTACCCCTAAAAGTGCCAGTTGTATCAATTGGAAGCGCAACATTTCGTTGTGCAAACTCCAGAAGGGTTGATTGCTTTTTTTGAGCCGCTCACCCTCCAAGTGCCAAGCTGACATCCAGCCGCCGGCGATGGTGCGCACATAAAAAGCATACACCGATTCGCCTCTTCGGCTCGATGCCGGGTCATCATCAGTAGAGACATTTTTATGATGTCCACGGTTATGCTCAATAAAAAAATGCATATATAAAGTTGTCAGGAGCAACATTTTACTCATGAGTTGTTCGTACCATGAGGAGCGATGCCCAAGTTCGTGTGCTGCATTGATGCCTAAAACGCCACAAGACAAGCCGAAGGCAGTGGTCATTCCAATCTGCACATATAAAGGCAAGGTGTCATCGCCAATGTTGTAAAGAAAATAGCCCAAACTGACATATTGCAAGGGCACCATGAGATACAAAATATAATCGTAAAGGGGGTCATTTTTGGCTATTTCTTCTTCTGCCTCGGTGAGATTTTGGGTAGAGCCATTGGTGAACAACTCTAAGAGTGGCAAAACCACAAATACTACAATGACGGCTTTGAATGACCAAATGTCGCGCGAAGCCAATGATGTTAACACTAAAAATGGTGCTACAAAAGCGAAAAAATACTTTAGACGTTTCATTGTTCCGAATTATGTTTGAACGATTGAAATGCGAAGGTACATCTTTCTGTGCTAATCTATAGACGGATGCGCCAAAATACCGGGAAGCGGGAGTCGGTCTTTGAGTCCATCGTAGAAGCCATCGAGGTAATGGACTAAGTCATTCTGGTTGCTTTTAGATAGCAATTTGGTCCTGCATATTTTATAAAGTTCAGGTTTGGCAAGTTCGAGCTTTTGGAAAGCAGCTTGAAGAGCCTCATAAGGCAAACCATCTGCCATCAGGAATCGCTGTCTGGTATTTTGCAAGCCTGTGAGACTAGAGGGCTTGGCATAGGCAGCATTTACGAAGCCGGAGAAGTCAAAATCATAAGGAATAATGGTAATTTCGGCATTTGGGTTGGCTCTGAGCATTTTCACATTGCGCATTCCAGATATTTCCCAGTCGGTGTTACCAATAAGATAATTGAATACACTTGCAAGTGCTGCGCTCTCTACATCAAGGCTATCCGGGTGCAAACCAAAAGACTCCGCCTCTTTCATGTTCAGACGCTCGGTAAGTTCTTCGTCGTGCTCTATCAATAGGCAATCCATATCTAAGGTAAGAGATGACACATGGGTATCTTTGAAGTGGATACGCACCAACCTAGCACGCACGTGCGAGGGCGATATCAGCTCAAACATACGATAGGCGAGATATTCGCGCTTCACGTAGTTGTCGCCTTCCTCGGTGTCGTAGAAAGCGGGTGATACTTTTACTTCATTGTTGGTATCGAAGCCTGCCTCGATCAGCTCTTTTTTGGAGAACCGCATTTTGAAAGGAGGCAAAACGCCATTTTTCCTTCTGTACTTGCCTCTTGCTTTTATTTCTATCTTCCAATTTCGTCCACTTCCGGTCGATATAGTAGCAGTCTGATAGTCTTCGGTTTTGCGATTTTGCGTAAAACTTGTGATATCGGTGGTAAGATATAGGTGGTTGCCTTCTATCTTGGAAAGAAACTCAAAAATAGAGATTTGCTTAGAGGTTTCTTGGATAAAGGTGTCTTGGGTTATAGCAGCAGCTGCATTTGAGGAGGCGGAAAAGCCCCAAAAAATGACAACAAATGGGATATATAACAGAGATTTCATAATCAGAATATTATTTTTCTGCAACGCGTTTTGGATTAAGGAATATTCCGTCCCAATACTCCTAGAAAACTTTTTGACGGTTCGTTTACAGCGGTAAAAGCTTGCGCGGCAAATTATATTTTATTTGACACTGCAAATATACGTATAAACGAAATAAAAGTAAAGTTAGTTCACTTTTGTAGGGAAAATTTACAAATATTTAACACAATTTGTTTTTCAACAGAAAGTGGGATGCACTTCTCTTTACATTCTGTGCACCAATACCATTTCGGGGCTGGTTTTGAACATTTTTACTATTTTGATTTCGTATCCGCCAATTTGCAATACTTGCCCCTCTTCGGGGATGCTTTCAAGTGTTTTGAGGATGAGCCCTGCGAGGGTCTCGTAGTCTTCATCGAGTGGGAAATCAAAAGGCAACTCTTCATTTATTTCTGCAAGGTTGTTTTGAGCTGCGATGAGCCACTTATTGTCTGGTTGTTTTTCCACAACAGGTACTTCAGCATCATGCTCATCCTGTATATCACCTACCAATACTTCCACTATATCTTCTAGTGTGACGATACCTACTATGCTGCCAAATTCATTGGTAGCTACAGCCAACTGCACATGGTCTTTCTGAAACTGACGCAAGAGCTGTATCACTTTTTTATTGGAGTGAATAAACAATACCGGGCGCAATATTTCCTTGAGTGTAAGGTTGGTGCCTTTGGCTATCGCTTGCAACAAGTCTTTTGCGTGTACATAACCGATAATATTGTCGAGCGACTCTTCAAAAATCGGAAAGCGCGAATAACCTTCATTGAGCGAAAAATCGATGGCTTCCTGTAATGGTGTGGACACATCTATGCCAACAATCTGCGGTCGCGGAGTCATTATTTGCTTGACTAATCGGTCGTCAAAATCGAAAACATTCTGTATAAGTTCCTTTTCTGAGGCTTGAATAGCTCCACCTTCCGCACTCTCGGAGATGATCATTTTCAATTCTTCTTCGGAGTGTATCTCTGAGTGGGGCACCGGCTTTATGCCTATGACTCGAAGAATCATGTTGGCAAGTCCATTGAGGATGTATATAAATGGTCGAAAAACGAAGTAAAATCCTTTGAGCGGCGTAGCAACAGCCATCGTGGTGCTGGTAGGGAAACGTATGGCGAGCGATTTGGGGGCAAGTTCACCAAAAACGATGTGCAACACAGTAATGACAGCAAAGGCTATGGGGAGGGCAATTTTATGGGCAATTTCGGGGCTTGGGGCATATCCAAACATCTCCATGGTGTTAATGATGATTTTGGAGACCACAGATTCGCCTATCCAACCCAAACCAAGACTTGCCAATGTGATACCAAGTTGTGTAGCAGCCAAATACCCATCCAAATTGGTGGCTACTGAAACTGCCATTCTCGAATTGAAACTGTCGGTTGCCTTCGTTTGTAGTTGGGATAATCTCACTTTTACAATTGCAAACTCAGCTGCAACAAAAAAGCCATTCAATAAAACCAATAATATAGTAATTAATATGTCTGCAATCATAGAATAAGTGATACTAAAAACGCAAATGTACGGAACTTTTAATATTGCGCGTAAATAAATTTCTGAATACTACCAGATAAGCGTTATATCGCCGCTAAACAATTCGGTGGAACCATCTATAAAAACAGCTTCCACAACATACGGATAAACACCTTCCTCCATACGACGCCCTTTGTAGGTACCATTCCAACCTTGGAGATAGTCATTGGGGGTCATATCATTTTTTTCGAAAAGCTGCTCTCCCCATCTATTATACACTCTGGTAAAATTGATATGTGCAACTTCTGCGCCAAAGTACAAAATAAAATAACCATTCTGTCCGGTTTCACCGGCTCTGAATATGGTAGGATAGAAAAATCGTCTGGATTTCTCAAATTGCAACCTGATTTCATCCGCACCTACGCAGCCTGTAACGGTATCAACCACCGTCAAAGTTATGTCTGCCAAAAGGAAAGGCGTAATATATGGCGTGAGTGAAGTTGGGTCGTTGAAACCTTCTGTACTACTCCATGAAAAGGTAAAATTGTCAGTATTCGTAATGACAGGCAGCAGCTGTGCGCTATCGCCAAACAGCACTTTTCGATCGTCTCCAAGATCTACCAAAATGGGCTTGGGCGGATCGACCACCAATGTATCACTATAAACACAACCATTGTCATCTGTGATCGTGAATGGGTAAGTGCCTGTCAAAAGGCTATCAAAAATCATGGGCAAAGCGGTTATATCTTGCACCAGACCACCAAAATCGATCATAGCGGGTGCTACCAGTCCTGTCGCAGTCTGTATTGCAATAATGCCCGATGAATCGATGAAGCAATTGGCATCGGAAGCTTCAGCGCCAATTACAATAGGCGGAGGCTGCGTAATGGTCGTGTTCACCGTATCTTTACAGCCATTCATGTCGGTGGTGGTAACCGTATAGGTGCCCGGTGCCAACCCCAGCAGTGAGGAGAAGGTGCCGCCTGTGCTCCACTTATAGGAATAAGGCGCTGTGCCGCCGCTTGCCGCCGCGGTGGCAATACCATCACTTTCGCCAAAACAACTGGTATGGTACGCTCCCACAAATGTTGGGGTAATATTGGCTACCACTTTAGTAACAATAACCGACACCATCGAATCCAGTTTCAGGGGACAATTGTTGCCAGTTACTCCCACATTCCCAAGCGTATAAGTAGTGTTTTGAGTTGGTTGTATGCTATTTACACTGCTCAAACTTTGGTTAAATATCGGCAAAAGGCTGCCATCTGTACCGGTAAGCACTGCATTGAAAGAGGTGATATTTTGCCCCAAAAATTTGATGCTTGTGGTATCTCCAAAACATATTTTATTTCTTCCTACCACGAGTTTCAACTCCGGAAGAGCTGTTGTAGCTACCGTAGCCATACCGCTCACTGTGCCTTGGCAATAGGTATCCTCTACATAGCTCAATGTAAAAGTCTGATCGGTTTGGATGTTAGTTGAGCTAATCGGAAACGTAGATAGCGAGGAGGTAAGCAATGGCGATTCAATGCCGTTGAGCAAATATTTGAATTTGAAAGGACCTTCGCCCGAGAAATTAACGTTGAAACTAGCATCTTCGCCAGCGCAAATATTTACAGCGCCGGATATTGTGGCTGTCGGCAAACTATGAAAAACCACCGGTATGGCATTAGATACAGCAAGGCAAGGGTCATTGAGGTTCACTGCACCTGAAGGCAATTTGTCGCCCGCTATCGCTGCAATATAATAGGTATTGGCTGTGCCCCAGCTCAATTGATAGTTAAAAACCGGCGTATTGGAGGTGCTGAGTATTCCCCCTGTAAGTATGGTATTGATATCAGCAAACAAGATATATTGTACACCATCTTCAGGATCGAGTGTTGCCGGAGTAGTTATAGTAGCTGTAGCAGCTTCGTTCACACACACATCTATGGTTGCCATCTGGAGTGTACCAGCGGCAGTAGTGCACTCGCATGTAGGACCAACTCCCGATACAGTGGCTGAACACCCTATTGGGTTGGCAATCGTAACAGAAAAGGTCGACCCCGATGGCTTGGGCAACGACGAAAAACTATTTCCCGAAACACTTCCTGCATCACCGGTAAACGTATAATTTGACAAATTTCCACTCGAGTTGCTTACATTTACAGTAAAGGTATAGGTTTCTGCCCCCAAATTACACGTTGTTGAAATCGGAAGAGTAATCATAGGCGTATCTACCTGCGTCACCGTAGCTACTAGTCCGGTAAGTGGACCATACACACAACCATTTGCATCGGTTATCAAGGTAGCCGCATAAGTGGTGGTTACCGTCGGTGTTACTACATATTGATAAGTATTGCTTGGCACAACCACGCCTGCCTGAGCTACCATATTGGCACTATATTGTAAGCTATATGGCGGTGTTCCGTTATTGATCTGGATATTAAGGTGAGCTGGCTGGTTGCGGCATACGGCTGTATCGCCCGTGAATGTGGCAGTCATTGGGAAACCCCAAGTTACCGATATGCCATTGGATACATTGAAACATGGATCGTTGCTATCTACAGTACCACCCAGATCGTTGCCACACACCGATACTATACTATACGCTACACCATAATTCATGCTATTGGGGTCGAAAACAAACTCCGGCGTTGCGCTTAATGCCACGATCGACCCAACAGCATCCAACAATTGGTATTGCTGCAAATCGCCGGCTTCTACCACAACCCCTGTAGCAGGAGCTATAGAGGCAGTTTCTGATGCACACAACTGCAAGGAAGCCGATGCCAACACACCCGCGCTATTGCCACATGCGCACACCGGTGAGGGTCCTTGTTGTGTATTATTGGAGCATAGCAGCGACAAATCGGTGAGTGTAACCGTATATGGAGTGCCCACAGGTATCGGATCACTCACAAATGCGCCTGTAACATCGTCATAAGCGCCCGTTATTCCGGTGATATCCACATTGGTCAGATTAACATGTGTCACATCAAACGCAATCGTATAACTCAACATATCGGCGCTACAATTCACACTAAAATTGTTAAAGGCCGGAGGCTGCTGTACCGTCACTGTAGCAAAGCCGGTGGCAATTCCTACGCCGTTTACATCCGACACAGAAACCAAAGAAAATACAGTAAGTTCCTGCAGATTGGCAACTATAGTATAGCTATCAGGCGTATTCACAGTAGCGCTCACCTCCAAGCCGTTTATGCTATACACCAATTGATAGGGCGCTGTACCTGTAAGCATCACAATAAGTGGCAACGGTGTACTTGGGCACACCGTATAATCGCCTGAAAGTGTGGCAGTTGGCTGTGCCCCAATGCGCACCAAAGCACTTAGAACAATCAAAAAAGAGCAAACGAAAGAACGAAAAAATGACATCATGATCGAAGGTTGAGAAGATTTTTAATTGATTATGTAAACAATGGGTTAACTCTGATTGGATTGATTAACAAAAAAAAGATTGCAATTTCTAATTGGGCAGCCGCCTCAAAAACTGCCTTTTGCCGCTCTGCAAATGCTTGGTATTTTGGAAGGGCAGTTTTTGAGTCGCCGGGCTATCCGCTGCTGCCATAAAAAACGCCTTTGGGTTTTCGGCGCAGTTTTTACGAACGTACTAGGCGTTTTTCTATTGGCATCCGCTACTATCCCTGCTGCAATGCGGCATATTCACTAGCCGGATGCCACACCATATGCAGAAAGGGCGCAAATATATACAACCCCAAAAATTTAATGCCATTTAGCACGCTATTTAACATCCTAGCGCTAAATATTAGTAATAAAATCAATATTTTCGTGACATCTTATTATTTGGACTCCAATATTCGACAAATAGGAACGCTATAAAACTTGTTGAAAACACTTGGACACTTTAATCCGCATTAGTCTCTGAATCGCTTCGTAAGGTCTTCATAATAATCTATGCGACGATCTCTAAAAAACGGCCAAATTCTTCGCACATCTTCCGTACGTTGCTTGTCAATTTCTATTACTACCTGCTCTTCTTGGTCTATACTACCATGATACAGTATCTCGCCTTGCGGCCCTGCCACAAAACTCTGCCCCCAAAACTCAATACCACCTGTTACCCCAGTCCAGTCCGGCTCATAACCCGTACGATTCACCGTAATCACAGGCAAACCATTAGCTACCGCATGGCCACGCTGTATTACATGCCATGCTCCATGCTGACGTTGTTTTTCCTCCAATGTATCAGAGCTTTCCCAACCAATAGCGGTAGGATATATCAGCATCTCTGCGCCGGCAAGTGCCATTAGCCTTGCTGCCTCCGGATACCATTGGTCCCAGCACACCAATACCCCAAGCTTACCCACAGAGGTCTGTATCGGTTGGAAGCCTAGGTCGCCTGGCGTAAAATAAAATTTCTCATAATACGCCGGGTCGTCAGGAATATGCATTTTGCGGTATTTTCCGGCAATAGAACCATCTTTCTCAAACACAACTGAGGTGTTATGGTATAGTCCAGGCGCTCTTTTCTCAAACAATGAGGTCACCAACACTACTTTATGTTTCTTGGCTGCAGCCGAGAACACCTCCGTATCCGGACCCGGTATTGGCATGGCCAGCTCAAACATCTCAGTCTCCTCTGCCTGACAAAAATATATGCCACAATGCAACTCTTGCAATACAACCAACTGTGCGCCTTGCTTTGCACAAGCAGCTATCCCATCTAGCGATTTCTTGATGTTTGCTGCTCTATCCTTGCCGCAAGACTGCTGCACGATGCCCACCTTTAATATGTTATCTTTCTTTTTTGACACGCCTTATTGATTTACGATTTTTACGATTTACGAGTTTTTCGATTTACGATTTACGATTTTTTTGATTTACGATTTTTTTGATTTGCGATTATTTGGATTTACGATTTTTTGGATTTTGGATTTACGATTTTTTTGATTTGCGATTTTTTTGATTTTTGGGATTTTCTATAATTCCATTTCAGCGCTCTAATCGATTCAATTACTGATTTTATCGATCTGCACGCTCCGTTTTGTTTCGCGTACGCGAAATATCTGTTAAAATCAATTGCGTGCGTGACAAAATCGGGGCGCGTGTTTCTTTATGGCGCGCGCATGAGGGATAGCAGTGGAAATAGCTAGAAAAATCGCATTGACGATAGCAACAAGCTACCCACAAAACCCAGGAGGCGATTTTTCTAGCTATTGCAACGGATAGCCCGACCCCCGACAAACTGCCCCTTCCGAACAGACTAAACAACCCACAAAGCCCTAGGGGCAGTTTGTCAGGGGGCATGCCCAAATTATTTTCAATATGCTTCAGTACATTGTAAATTAAATATTTTGATATTTTGGGTAGTAGATTTTTTCGTCAGACGAGCCAATTTTATAGGTAGTAGCAGCGCTACATCCTATAAAATTGGTGAAGTATGACGGAAAAAGATACAGACAAAATGTTAAAATATTTATTTTACAATGTATTCAGTCTGCCCCGATTTTGTCACGCACTCATATCAATTACACGCAATTCGAAAAAATCCGTTATATTCAGTAAAATCCGTTTCATCCGTTTTCCCTTCTCCCTTTTGAGTGAAGCGAAAAAGAAAAAACTCCAGAGTCCGCTTTTCCATCTTTATAGTCGGGTAAACACCTTATGTAAATTAATAGTATTGCATAGTAACGCAATGCAGTGAGCCATGTTGTAATATCAGCGCACGACAATTGATACCAACTATTTCATGATTCGGAAATACCGATTCAAATATCTTCAAAGCAGAGGCATCTTGCTTTACGCCATACACCGGCACCAGCACTGCCCCATTGATGAGGAGAAAATTGGCATAAGTAGCCGGCAAACGGCAACCATCTGCATCGAAACAAGCATCAGCCATGGGCAAAGGCACCAAATGGTACGGTTTACCATCGTCAGTGGTGAAAGACTTAAGCTCTTGCTCCATTGCCTGCAATGCTTCAAAATGCTCATCGGCAGCATCGTTACATTGCACATACATAATCGTATCGGGCGTACAGAAGCGCGCCAAGGTGTCAATGTGCGAATCGGTGTCATCGCCCGCCAAATAGCCGTTATTGAGCCATAAAATGCGCTCCAAGCCAAATAAAGCCTTGATTTTTCGTTCCAATTGCCCCTTGGATAGGTGCGGATTTCTATTCGGCGATAGCAAACACTCCGCAGTGGTAAGTAAAGTACCCTGCCCATCACTTTCTAGACCACCACCCTCCATCACCAATCCGCCATGCTTGATATGCATCCCCTTGAATACTTTTTTGCGGTAAAGTGAGCGAGTAATCAAGTTGTCTTTGTCCGCCGCGAATTTCAAGCCCCAACCATTGAACACAAAATCGTACACTACCCTATTATCACCTTCCATAACAGTGATTCCGCCATGGTCGCGCGCCCAAGTGTCATTGGAGTCCACTTCCACCAAGGTGATCTGCTCCAGCGTTGCGCTATCAAACCATTGTCGCGTTTTTTTCTTGTCCTTACAGACAATCAAAACGCGCTGGAAACGCGCAATTTGCTTAGCAATCTCCACAAAACAAGGCAAAACCTCCTCCAAAACATCTGCCCAATCGGTTCCCTCATGCGGAAAAGTAAGCTGTACAAATGATTGTTTTTCCCATTCAGCGGGCAAACGTTTTTTCATTTTATAATAATTTTTGGCGCAAAAGTAAGGTGTTTTTTTGGCAATAAATGAAGAAATAAATAACTTGCAATAAAAAAATATGTCAGATAACGCGCTTTTGTTATTCTGATCATGAATTACATTTGCTTTCAAAATCTATTATCACAAACCTAAAAACAAATTACATATGAGAAACTATCTACCTACAACTCTGCCTACCACCCCGCCCTTCGGGCACCCCTCCAAAGGAGGGGAATTGGGAGAATTGGGAGATTGCATAGACAAAGTCTATGAAATGAAAAACTATCCCCCAACAAAAGAACCCAACCTCCCCATACACCCCGAAAAAACCAAAAGCGAGCCCCATGACAACAAGCAAGAATACGACGCACAACGGCAAGCATATTTGGAAAGTTATGGCTTAAAAATGTACAGAATTTCCGACTCCAATATAAAACACAACATCGAACTTGTAATGCGCGACCTAGAAATCTTTATCATTAAAAACTTTGGGGGTTGAGCAATTTATTGTCAGCGTAACCTGAAGTAACGCCGACAATATTATAAATATCAACAATGAAAACCAGCAATACAACGTTCAAAACTAGATAACTGAACTTTCAACGTTTCAATAACCAAATCTATCTTATGTCAAAAAAAAATTGCACCCTCCTCATTCTAGTCCTGTCCATGTGCCAAATGGCATTTTCTCAACAGAATGCCCAGTTTAAGGCACAAAAGGAAAGAATATTGCAAGAAAAACTGCGCATCAAAGACATGCAGCTTCTGCAAGAAATGGTCACAGCTTTTTATGCAAATCCTGGCAATCATCCAAACACCGCGACCTCTCCTACCCCAACCAATGCGTTGCATGATAGGAACACAGAAGTGGTGGTACATGGCGGGGAAGAAGTAGAATCGGAGGTGCATGCAGCCATCAACCCTACCGATACAGCCAATATTTTGGTGGGTTCGATACTTTCTGATGCCGAAAATCTTGAAAACCCGTTGGTGGTACCTATCTACTATACCACTAATTTTGGAAGTACGTGGAATGCAGCTACCTTCAACTCCAATCCCAACGCAGAGTTTGTGGCTGGTGGAGGCGACCCTGTGTTTGCCTTCGATAAAGATGGAAAAGCATACATATCTTGGCTAATTTTAGCCATTTCACCATCTTTTGACTTGAAAATATCTTTATATCTTGCGAGTAGCACCGATAAAGGCGCTACATGGACCTTCAATGATACCCCAATTGACATAGGAGAAGCCTCTTTATTTACAGAAGAAGGTGAGTTTGTAGACAAACAGTGGATGGCAGTAGATCAAAACCCTACTTCAACCTATGAAGGTAGACTTTATACCATATATGTGCGATTGGTTGCAACCGGAGGCTCAGAGATCAACCTCAAATGGAAAGAAAAAACCGAAACAACTTTCTCTCCCCGCATCAAGGTACACCAAGGCACTTACGCTTTTATGCAGTTTTCGAGCATAGATGTGGCTAAAAATGGCGATGTCCACGTACTTTTCACTGCAGGAAACGACGAAAATGATGTAGCACTCTATCACGCCAAATCTACTGATGGCGGTACCACCTTTGCCCCCGAAGAAAAGATTTCGGATATCGTATTCAACACGATTTTTGAAGACGCACCCGCTACCGAAATCTCAGGAATCGAGCCAACAAGGCTTTATCCATGCCCGCATCTCAAATGCGGACTTACCTCCAATGATGTATATGCCACTTGGTCGTGCAAAGGCATTGACGTGGCAGGCTCCACCGGTTACGATGTTTACTTTGCCCAATCAACCGATAGCGGAGCTACGTGGGCTGCCGCAAAACGTATTGGTAATACATCCAACGATGATATTTCGCACCAATACTACCCTTCTATAGCGGTTTCGCCTTCCGGCAAAATTTGCGTAACCTATTACGACCGCACGGAAGACCCTAACGGCAGCAATACACATTACAATATTACCGTATCCAACAATGGAGGCATGACTTTTTCTACCGGTACAAATGTGAGCGCCGAACCCAGTAATTTCGATGAAATTGGCGAACAAAACCAAGATTTTGGCATTGGCGAATACACACAAGTGGTCACCACCGGAAGTTATGCGATACCGGTTTGGTCAGATGGAAGAACCGGCGGCGGCGATATCGATGTGTATGCTGCGTTGGTAAACATAACCGGTTCGGTAGCCGTAGAAAACCTGACTACTATCGCCGACCAATTTGAGCTACAGATTGCCAATCCTTCCAATACACTCATAAAAGCCCATGCTGTGCTTCACGCCAAATCAAAGCTCAAATGGGAAGTTATGGATGCCCAAGGCAAACTCATATCGCGCATCATGAACGAATTGTCGTTACCTCCCGGCACCTATACGGAAACAATTCAAGTGCCACAATCAGGGGTTTATTTCGTTAGTTTGACTACTGAATACGGCAAAAATACCCAAAAAATCGTAGTAACCCCATAGAAATTTGAAAAAATAATTAGGGCGATCTCGTATCGCAGCGTACCTAGCGCCGCAGGAAAAGATTTTTAGGACATTTATTGCTCCTTCAACAACGCTCGCGCCGTACCTTTGCCGCAATTCCTAAGGAACGAAGCACACCTTACTTTATCAATCAAATAATATATGAAACAATCGTATCTATATCTAGCCGCCATCATCTTATTTTTTGGCTGCAAAACCGCATCCAATAAGACCACAACACCGCGCATAAAAGGCGATGACGGCAAAATAGAGGTCGTTTTCCTCCAAATCAATGATGTGTATGAAATATCGCCTATTGGCGTAGAAAATGTAGGCGGACTAGCGCGCGTAGCCCAGATACGCAAGGATCTCCTCGCCAAAAACCCAAATATTTACACCGTGTGTGCAGGCGATTTCATAAGCCCGTCGGTCATCGGCACACTCAAACACGAAGGTCAGCGCATACGCGGCAAGCAAATGGTGGAAGTACTCAATACCCTCGGATTGGATTACACGGCTTATGGCAACCATGAGTTCGATTACGATTTCGGCGACCTACAAAGCAGACTCGACGAATCTAAGTTCACTTGGATAGCCTCGAATATCCAATGGGTACAAAAAGACGGATCCAAGTTGCCCTTCTCCCAAACACACGACGGCATACCCACGTCATGCCCTCAGACAGTGATCATCAGTCCCAAAGATGGCGATGGCACCAGCATCAATCTCGGTATATTTACGGCGGTTGTGCCCTCCAATCCAAAGAATTATGTAGCTTACGAAGACCACAACGCAGCCATAAGCAGAAGCGTGGAAGCATTGCGCCCGAAGACCGATTGCATGATTGGACTTACCCACCTCGCCGCAGAAGACGACAAAAAATTGCTCGCCCAATACCCCGAAGTTCCCTTGATCATGGGAGGTCATGAACACGAAAACCAAGTGCACCAAGTAGGCAAAGGCAAAGTTGTAAAAGCCGATGCCAACGCCAAAACGGTTTACATACACACGTTGGTATATGACAAAAACACCAAAACGTGTGCTGTAACCTCCGAGCTAAAAAAAGTGGATAACACGATCAAAGAAGACTCTGCAACGGCAGTCATCGTAGCAAAATGGGAGAGTATCAAGAAAAAAACATTGAATTCCTCCGGTTTTGACCCCGAAAAAACGGTAACCACCTTGAAAGAACCGCTCGATTGCCGTGAAACCACTGTGCGCTCCAAGCAGTGCCAAGTAGGCGCCATCATCAACGCCGCCATGCTCGCTGCCGCCAAAACCAAGCCCGATGCCGCATTCTTCAACGGTGGTTCTATCCGTGTGGACGACACCTTCACCGGCACCCTCACCGAATTGGATATGATACGCATGTTGCCTTTCGGCGGCGGCATAGTGGAGGTGGAGATTTCAGGCGCCTTGCTCCGCAAAACCCTCGAACAAGGCTTGAAAAACGCAGGTTCTGGTGGGTACCTACAATGGGGCAACATCACCAATCCGGAAGCGGGCACCTGGATAATCGGCAAAAAATTGCTCCTCGATACCGAATTTTACAAAATCGTTTTGCCCGAATTTCTACTCACAGGCAACGAAAAAAACCTCGGCTACCTCAAAGCCGAACCTACCGATACCGGCACCTCCAATCCGGATATACGGGCTATCAACAAGCCGGACACCAAAGATAAAACCGACCTCCGCAACGATATTCGACTAGTGCTGATAGCATATTGGAGAAGTATATAAACCACTTGGGCGATCCCCCGCAAAACAGCCTTTTTGTGTTCCGACTTTTTTCTTGGTCATACAGCTAGGCTGTTTTGCGGGGTCGGGCTATCCGCTACAATAGCCATAAAAAGTGCCTCTTGGATTTATGGGTAATTTTCACCTTGTAGCTTGGCACTTTTTATGGCTATTTCCGCTTCTATCCCTATCGCGTAAGGTTAAGGTTTTTCGAGTTCTGTCTTCCTGTAAGGATCTGAACCGCATATTTTCAAAGGAAATGCAACAAAGGTCAATTATTCATCTTCACAAGTCTCTTATTCAAAACCAGCCCATCTTCTGCCTTGATGGTCAAAAAATAAAGCCCACTACTTATTTCACCAAAATTCAATCTAACATCATAAGCATCAACAAATAAATGCTTTACGATCCTGCCTAAGGAATCAAATATGCAAATTTCTTGAATTTTCTCCGGAACAGGAAGCCCTGATAAATCTATGTACAAGGACTCCACAAATGGGTTGGGAAACACCCAAGGA